AAATTGACGCCACAATGTAAAAACAAGTGACAGTCAAATGAAACAGACTGTATTCTACAGCGAAAGGAAAGAGTTCCTTTTTCAAATGTTGTAATTACTTTTTAAATATTGTTTATGTAAGTGGCCAGTTCCGGAAACTTATAGTGCGCCCTATGTAAAAGGAAAACTTGAAAATTCCATATTTCAAAAAAGAACTTCCTTAGTTTGTTCAAAAGTGAAAATTTCTAAGTTTTATTCAAGCCTCGAGTGCGGAACCATCCGTTTTCGATCGCGTTTTCCTGGGAAACAGAAACGATCAGCGCCTTCCTTTAGCACCTTTCACAGAAATTGTTTATGTTAATGATTTCTCGATAGTTTAACACAGATTCGCACAGTTTATTAGAATGGTAGGTAAAACGAACTTGCGGTATTTTACTATATCATTATTCTAGTGACTGATATACCTCGTTTCTGAGAGTTGGCTTCCCTCCAAACCGCCACTGCTGGGTGAATGTGTTAAGCGTATGGAAGATTAAAATCTTGTGTTATTTTATTTTGTAAAATTAAATTATTTATATATTTTATCATTTGAAAATTTGAAGTTTCGTTTACAAAATGTTATCTTTAGTTATTTGAAATGCAAGCAAAGAAATTAAGTGACAAAATTGAAAAGGAAACGATGTATATTACTCGTATGCAAGCAATGCTATTCAGACTCACGTGACGCTTGAAACTCGACCACGCCTCACGCACGTTTCGGTAAATGCGGGAGAAGCGACAATGGGAACTCATCCCCAGTTCCGACTGTGTTCCGGCCCAGTTTCCACGACGTGTCCGTGTTTTGGTAACAAGAAGACGAAAACAGCAGTGTCCGACTTGTCGATTGTATCCTGTCTTCTATTTATAAATTACAAACTAAAGCGAACTACACGATATTCCGGGTAATGTTATCACTGCACACAGCTCATGTGAAACACGTAAATTATTTGTCTTCCGCCACAAATACGCTTGTTATTTTTTAAGAGGCGGCAACTTTGGATCCCGTTCAAAACTGTGCCTGAGTTTTTCAAGCGACACGTTCTGCAGTGACATGTGACATAAACAATACGCAATATTGTAGAAAGTTCGATACCCTCAAAATCAGCGTTATCGTACATTAGCAATGTTTGTATTGTGTTGTTCACGATGAATTATCATTTTTTGTTAGCGAGTGAGGTTTATATTTTTTGTTTTAAATAATTATTACGCATTGTCTACGAAATTAGAGTTTACAAATTCATGAATCACATAATCTAAATTCACGTGACGCAAAGTAGTAGTAGTTCGGCGGTAGTCGATAGGCTCTTAGGTAATTCCCAAAAATGCTTGCACGAGTTGAAGAAAGTTCTTTATTGCGATGGCATTAGTCACGCGAATAAGGAAACCAATTTCGTACTTAGCTACCCAAAATATAAACAAATAAATCAGTGTATGTAATATAACTGACTCTCTCATTATTACACTATCGTAGCAAGCATTTTTGGTCGATCAAGGCGACGAAACCTCTCGCCCAAAACTTCATCACTTTAAAGAGACACTAAATGAAACAAGAATATACAACTACAGTTACTGTCAACGAAGCAAGTCTTGAGATACAAATAAATTTGCTAAATGAGCATTTAAATTTGCGAGTGAACAGAACATTTGTTAAAATTCTTAACATATTAATATGTAAAAGATATATCTTTTTTGTAAATAGTTTGAAAATCGTTCCAAACGGGGAAAGAAAAGAGACATACACGCCACTGTTGGATACGGGAGCTTATCTGTATGTTAATCTGAAGTACCCACTTCTATGAATATGACGCGTAATGAATAGACGACCTTGGTGACCCAGCGGTTAGGATATTGGGCGGCAGGTGAGATGGTCCTGGGTTTGATTCTCGATCAGGCCAATTTGAGAAAACAAATTTTTTTTCATGGTTATTATAATAGTTATTCCATAGGTAATTTTGCGTGCTCTGGCAGTTGTAGTACAGGGAGAGGGCAATTTTCAGGTTAGATTTCGCTGTCTAATTTCAATGGCAATTTTTATTATTTTAATATTCTAGAATATTATCAAGTATTACTTATTCGAGTGTAGTATCCTGAAATATTATTTAATATTATACGACAATTTACTTGAGTACGTGAATAATAAAAATAGCCACCGAAATTAGGTAAAGAACTGCAAATTCGAACTACAAATATGTAATTTGTTGTGTATTTGTGCGTGTCTTGTTGTGATTAGAGAAAAGGGCAATGGCGAGGTGAATTGTTACGTTCGATTTCGGTCAACCCTCAGCGCGAAATCGATGGTAGGCACCTACCTATTCCTTGCAGTCTAGCTTTATGAGGATTGATTTTCACTGCACATAAAAAGGCTATTCAGGATATAACTTACGTAGATTGGAAGGTAAATAGACACTGTTTCAAATTATAACTTATTTTTAACTGATTTAGTTATTTTTCAATTTAGATTTTAGCTGCGTCTAGACGTATCAAACATTATATAGGCTGTCTTGGTGAAGTCCACTTGTAAAACAGTTTACAACTGGAATAGTTCAGAGGATTTTTTATAAAAATACACTTACCAATAAATGTACAGGGATCCATTTCTTTACTTTTTCCATTTTACTTGAATATTTTATCTCCCACACAATAGGTATCTGTATTGTCTATTGAATATCGAATAAACTATGTACATACTAACGTTATACTATAAGGGTTGGATGATGTTCTCGTGGTTGTTTGCTGTATTATTGTCAATATCTAACAGTGTTATCTATTCACTCATAACCGATGTAAAAGTCATTTTAAAATTAATATTAAGTAATTGTATGTATTAAAATTAATAGTTGGGATTTCGATTGTTACTTTAAAGATTTTAAATATTGTTCACTAGATGTTAATATTTACTAATTTAGTACTAACTTTGTATACTATATAATATATATAACTATGTATATGTGTATATATATATATATATATATATATAATATGTATAACTGTGGACTGCGGTACGTACTACCCATTTAAATTTACATACTCTAAAGTTATTGACTTTAGTCTGTATTGTACACTTGCATAAATAAATAAATACTTAACAAAATAAATTATCTAACGTTAACTATACTTATACCTATACTATGTTAGAAGTTAGAATAACATTATACAATGATAGATAAGAAAAGGTTACAATGTATCGTAATCGTAAAGGTTGTTAAAATACCTAAAACATGAAATTTTCTTCAAAATACTGGATTATTAAAATAATGGACATCACGCGAACAGTAATATTATTCATACGGGCTGTTTTCTTTGACTAATAAATGAAACTTTTGTTTTTGTTTTGTTACGAAGAATCTACACTTAGGTACATACTTGACTTAAGGCTACAACGTAACTGTTAATAATTATTTCCTTTATTGAAGATAATTTCTCTAACTCTGCATTGTGAACTTCGAGAAACAGTATAGTGTAAGTTATTCAGAGCTAACTAATACCTAAAGAATTTCCGAATGCATTAATCACAGAATAAAATACAACACATAAATGAATGCACCTATTTATGTTTACAAGAACAGGTACAATTTAACATTTAAAATAAAATTTAAGTTGAAAGTCACCTTTTCATTAACACTATGTTCCTGTGACTATGTATTTAAACTTCAAAAATAATATAACTAGTGTAAGTTATTCAGAGTTAACTAACACGAAAGACTAAAGAATTTCCGAATGCATTATTCACAGACAAAAGAACATCACTTATATTAATATACCTATTTATGTGAATAGATACAATTTAACAGTTGAATATGGTTGAATGTCACCTTTTCATTACACCGTGTTCCTCTGACTACGCATTTAAACTTCAATAATTAACATAGTGAAAATTATTTAGAGGTAACTAGCACGAAAGACTGAAAGGATTTCCGAATGCATAATTTACAGAATGTATCACATTAATTAATGTACCTATTTATGTTTACTTGAATAGGTACACTTTTGATGGTTGAATGTCACTTTTTCATTAACACCATGTAGATATCCGCCTTAAAAATTGTATTCTTTTAACTATGGTCTGCGTACGTTAGTTGACTGGCTTGTAAATCACACAATGTCATTGTTTGGAGCTCCAATTCAATCGATTGCCCAGCGCAAAGAAAAAGAAAACAAAGTTAGTCTAACGCTTTGTACCAACATTGCTTCTTTATTTCTTTATTATGAAAGAAAGCATACAAAGAATTCCAACCTTCGTGATTTCGAATGCCAATTTGAGGTCGTAAAAAGTTGGTTTTGCTTTACTAAATTGAAAACTACGAACTTGTGTTACGGTATATTATCGTATAATTTAGGCAGTAACAGCATTTACATCTATTAAATTTTATTTTATACCTAAGCCGATTACTTAAGTAATTAAGTTTAGAAATAGTTATTTTATACATATTCACTATATATATATATTCATCTATTTATCATTCAATTTCTACAGCTTCACCTGGGGATCACATTATTTGATTGAAGAGTTGAACTCAAATAACCATCCAGTCTAATTGATACACAGAGGGTACGTCGTAAGTATAGGTACGTAGTAATTCCAATTAATCCGTTCGAAATCTACGCCTACACCAGTAACGATGTTAATTAAGTTACATCACGTAAAGATTTGTACTTAGTAATTTGAAAAAGTAAATTTAACTTACTAATGCAAGCTCCATAGTCACCCAGTCACTAAAATGAGATTGTTATGATACTCAAATCCACTCACATTTAGAAATAAGAATTATGTTAATTACACGCACGTGATTACAGCTTTCATGAAAACAAATATTTAAATAAATACATGAAACACTCAAATGAGGAGGCGCGTGCTACGATCGACGGGGTAACAATCACTGGCGCGTATTGTTTACCTACCCGCTACCTGCGCCGGTATGCCACCACTGGAACCGGTGACGACGCAAATGGAAACTATGGAATGCAAGATAATGGTTTTGTACCTATCTCAACCGACGACTGGTGTCTTGAAGACTAACGATGACAGTGGGCACGCGTTGTTGACAAGGGGTGAGGAGCCTGCAACGCGCGACGCCGGTGCTGCCGGTATGGTGCCGGGTCGTGGTGGCGGGCTTACAGAGTCCGCACGAGTGGCGATGTCGCGTCTGGCCTTTGCTCATCAAGCGACGGCCAGTTTAATGCGCGGGTATTTCGGTAGATCACAGCCATCGGACAAATCACGGCCGTGCGACCCGGCGTGAACGAGCGTTCTAATTATAAACCTTGTTTATATTTTTTATTCCCTCTGAGATTTTTATTGTTAGTTTACGGACGAAGACGTTTGTGAGTAATTGAGGAGAGCTCACTCGTCGAACTCGAGGGCCACGTGCGTCTCGAAATAACAGCGGCGCGACATTCGATTTATCACTGATTACGGGGAATTTATCGAATCGGATAGCTAATAGCGGCGCCAGAATGGGTTTTGGACGGCGTCGAGGTCGTAAAGAACGGAGCTGAGAATGGCGTAGGCGTTCAGTGGTGGTGGTGGCGGCCGGTGGTCGTACGTACCGAGATAGTCTCCGAGATGGCGCTACAGAAGGCGCCGAAGCCGGACTGCGCGGGTGTCGCGCTGGTCGGGCTGTGCGGCGGACTCCCACTGGGCCGGTCCATGGCGCAAGTATCTAGTGGCCCGTGGCCCGGCGGTCGACGGAACACTGCCGCGCTCGCGCTCCGCTCGTTCCCTCGCGTTACATAAACCTATCTCGAGAGCACGACTTGCCCGCTGCCCGCTGCCCGCTCCCACCTGTCTGTTGTCGCTACGTTTTGGCATCACACGCTACCCACAACAATAACACTAAATAATTATAGACATGAGATATTTTAAGCGCACTCAACGCTGCATACCTATGCCTGATACTAATTTGAAATGGTCCGTCTTTACATAGAGTGTGATTTATGGTACTGTTTCTTATTAAAGAAGACACGAAAACGAGTTGCACCTACACCACACCCATTAAATGTTGTTTAAATTTTATGTCGTAGCACGAGTTGGCACCGAAAAGCGTTCAATTAAAAGCTTAAGGATAAGATTTATTGTCAACACTATGTTTCCGTGCGCTCATATTAAATTATCTCGTGACCTTTTACTATCTAATTTTATTATGAGTGGCTACTTACTCTGAAAACTCAAAGAAGTTACCTTCATTTTAATGCAAAAGTAGAATGCGTGCTGGGTTTGTTTTGATGAAAAGAATTGTTTGAATTATCTGATACAATGCGTGAGTTATCGCACGAGTAGCTTACCTAGTGTAAGTACTTCCAAAAAATACGTAAATATTTATTTAGTCTACTTTTCGACTACCTGTTTCAAACATCAGTCGTTGAAATATTCGTAAATACTGACAAATCTGAGTGATATTTCGCCTTATAAACAAGTAAGTAAAACGACACAAAAATGTGGAGGTTTCCTATTAAATAAATATATACAATTCTCTATATTTCTTGGACATTACAATACTGAACTACTCCAAAGGTTCGCATATTCAAATATCTGTCAATTTTATCTGTCGTAATGGTCGTAATAATAAACATCAATCGCAATGATATACGAAATTTCACTTATATATTATATTACCAAAGAACCTTTGCCTTCAGGAGCACCCATATTCCATAGCAGCTTGTCTTCGCCTTGGCGCCCCTGCAGTATAGACGTAAGTGCACTAGGACTACACGGTCCTGTCTGGCAGTTGAGCCCGGTCGCACCTAACGGCACGCAGCCCATCGGGTCGGGTTCGAGTCGTTAGCATAAATAAACGCGCTCGCTATATTAACCCAGTAGCATATCGCGAGTCGACGTTAAACGCCCCGACGCAATGATATTACCTTTATACCATGTATATTTATGGATCGAGAAAAATGCGTGACGCCACATACATACATCGATATATTAGCCTTATCCCGTTCCCCCTAAATACCACTGTGAAAGCTGGCTGCATAGCTGAAAAATTAAAAACACAAAAGTACCGGGAGTTCCGGATTCAACTACTTATTGGCGACCTTGGGAAATTGCAGATCCATACGATCTAAGATGGATTCAAGCGCTGATTCTTTCTACAAAATTATATCCAAAAAAAAATGGACCACAGTTGAGATCCAGCTTTGGCAGCTATCTTCAAACTCAAACTCAAATAGTATATTTCAAAGATGAACATTTACACTTGAAATCGTCACATTGATTTAAACTCTACTGCTCATTCGTAACGCAGATTGCCCTGACAAGAATGAACAAGAAACTTTAAGGGATGTTTCTTGTAAATACAATTTTGTACACATTTATCATTAACAGTATTTATTTCAAACATCATAGATCGAGACTACCGGCAAGCGTTACAGGAGTCACTACCATATGACATTTTTGTCATCAAAGTACGCGGAAGCTATATAAGTGTAAAGTTTTTGTTTCACTGTTTATAATACTCGTGAATGGCAAATTTTATAGAAACGTATGCATGTTCAGAATACCCAGTAGTTCCTAGCAGGTAGGATATATGTATAAATAATTTTTCGTAATGCTCATATTAACACTTGTTCATACAAAGTTATTTATTGCGTCATGATTTTCAACAATACATTTTCAAATATGAAATAATTTTTCATTATCTTTAGTAGTTTACTGATAATGATCGGTAAAAGTGCTTCAAATGTATAATAAATTTTTAGCGACATGTGTAATAGTGGCAAATCTGTGTTTTTGGGCGGAATGCGGAAGGGTTAAAAGGGTGGTTGGGGGTGCAGAAGTTGAATGTGGTATAAAACTTTTATATAAAATCGTTATATTCTCGTTTTTGAAAACATTCATATCAAATAAGAAATAAAACTTTTTTTTCGAATTTCAATCACGTATATATTTGTTTTTTTTTTCAACCAAATCAACGTTTCTGGTCCTTTACAGGTCTCATGGTCTCGGAAAAACCAAATATACGCGATTTAGATTTGAAAAAATACTTAGTTTCATTTCCTATGTGTAACAACCGCAAAAACCTAGAAACTTGATTCGTACCAAATATTCATATATTTACAAAAATATTACCGCGAAAGTCCTCATTACGAATGAAGATGCCATGATAATGTGGTTCTCGCGTGCATTAAATAGATATTTTTCTCAGAAAAACCATTATGCATAAGTTTGTGGTACACAGAGATAGCGTACTTTTAAAATAGTATCTTAGATTATTGAAGATAATTTAACAAATAAAACTGTATCATCATCTTGATTTCCACAATTAAATACACAGTATGAGCACACACCCACTAATGGGCACGGAGCTCCTCTTATAAGAGAATAACGTTATAATCCTTCACGAATTTGGCTGTTTTCGCACAAACAAATATTTTACACAGGTGGCACTCCCTATCTCTTTCGTATAATAATTAAAGGTTTGTAACTTTCACCAAACAAATATGTTATCGACTATATTATTATTACCATTTCCTAGGTACACAACCTCGAGTGGCGTCATTGCAAAATGTGTCTACACATCAGCACCTATGCGGAGCCTACATTTTGACACCAGACTTTGCAATAACAGCGGCTCATTGTGTACGCCACCCGGCAGACCAGTACGAACTTCAGCTGCGAAATTTCTGCTCAGATCCTCCCACAGCCCGGGTGCTGGAGACAATTGTGCATGACCTTTATGATAAGTAGGTTTGGTTTATTAATGGGTGGTGGAGTTTTATTTCTAAAATAGATTTGAAATCTTAAACGGGACTGATTTCAAACGAGAAGAAAAGAAATGTATCCCGAAATAGATTACTATATATTATTATTATATATTGATATTATAAATGCAAAAGTTACTCTGTCTGTTTCGTTTTCACGCCTAAACCGCTGAATCAATTTTGATGAATTTTGGTATAGAGATAGATAGGATTGGAAGCTAAATCACAAACATTAATCTTAAAGGGGGTGAAATAGGGAATGAAACTTTGAATGGAAAACCAATAAAAAAATTCGTAAAACCAATAAGAAAATTCGAAGTACTTATTCCACGCAGATGAAGTCGCAGGCAACAGCTAGTATAGTATTATAAGATCGTACCCTTGATGTAATAAAGCCACCTGTGATCATATGTCTAAAGTGCTTTTATTAAAATATGAAAGTTTTATTACTTAAAGTGTGAAGTACTACTACGAACTACATGAAACAAATTATGTATTTATGTGAAATTTTACATCTGAGTTCAAATGTGAATAGTATGATCCACAGGAATGTATGTAGATAGATCTATATCAAATAACATTATGAATTTATTTGACTAATGGACACAGAGACTTCCGACTTATTATCGTATAAACAACGTATGTACAAGGGAAAATGGCGGCTTGAGGCTCAGTGAGCTCAAGTATGCAGAACTCCGCATACTGTTGACATACGTACCACGCCCACTAAGCACTTCTGTTGTATGTATTGTTCTGTGCGCCAAACCAATCCTACAGTGAAGAGCACAACAAGTTTGACACTTTGGTCATTGAACCGTTCTTATCGGAAGCAGCATAGAATTGAATATGTCGGACATTCTGTACATATAAATAATAATGGTAACCCAGATTTTACTCAGATTAAGCTAATAAAGTATTCTCAATTTAATGTATAAACAATGATAGTAAATAATTGTTAAAGGCATACTTAACAATTACAATTGCTTTCAGTACATATTTAAAGTAATTTATGTACAAATCAAGAACAGAACGTTATCTATACTTGTAAACAGGCTACACAAAAGTAAATATGTAGCAAAGCCCTGTTTTTCTGGGCCTTTGTGTACCATACCTTAGTAAGTTATTTTGGTTCATAATATTAATGTTTTAACAATATTTTTATAAGTCGAAGTTATACAATAACAAGGTTATCCTCGTTTGTAAACTAGGGGATCCTGTATTTTAGGAGGCAGAAAACGGAGTAACTGAAATGAATGGGTAAAAAAAATTAAAAACAAAAACAAAATATTAAATAATTTTGTTTTCATCAGCGGTAATACACGTAAAGATTCCTTCAGATTGCCGACACACATAATGATCGCGCGGAATTCCCGGTAGCAAATAAAAAGAGAGGCGAGTGGTGACGGCAGAATCGAAATAGAGCAATATTGTTGCTAGACTGATTACAGAGGCGCTTTTCTAATGTGTCATTTACATGAGAGGTGTTGAAATAAATTTGTGAACTGTTTACTCCGTTTAAATTTACAAATCTAGATTGTAGTAAGTATGTACATTTTTCAAGATTTAAAATGACGATCTATTTGCAATATTTATGTTATTGAATAGCATGTTTTTACTGCCATGATCTTCATTCATTGATATTTATTATCTTGTCAGCCGCTGGTAGCTGTTAACACTTTTATAGATGTCCCATAGATAGCGCTAGCCCCGAGCGAGCGATGGGAGAGCGGCTTGACTTATAAAAGACTTTCGGTTTGGCGAAAAAGTCTTTTATAAGTCAAGCCGGATGGAAGGAATTTTTATTTGTGTCTGTTCGATATTTGTACGAATAATAACGATTTGCTTGGCTAAACTACATATTGGAAAGCTATATAAACGGCTAAGATACAAATTTCAACTAAGATTTTTTCAATAATGTATATATTTAGGTATATTTATTACTCAATCATTACACCAGCAAGCCAGCCAAAATAAAACTATTTTGCAAGGTTTTAGGTATTATGTTATACTATTATTATTATTATCATATTTATTTTAAACTCTCGCCTCTCCCAAGGCCTAAAAAATTAATTTTGAATTTTTAAATTTTTAATTTTTTTTTAATTTTTAATTTTTTTTATTGTTATTATTATTATTATTATACTATATATAGCTCGATTACCACTGACTGACTGACTGACTGAACCAGTGATTTAGATGATAGTTCTCCCAGAAGGAGTCGCGGTGGGTAAAAATTATGTACGGTAGTCGTCATCGGATGGCTCCGGTAAGTACCAGAAAAATCCGAAACCTTCGAAAAATGGACTGCATCAGGTGGGACTCTAGTTGCACGACCAATGAAAAAAAATAATAAAATACCTGTCGGAAGGGTCGTCGAACTAAAATTGACAGCCATCTTGGTCAGTTTCTACCGAAAGTGAAAAAAATTGGAAATTCGAATAAACAAGAAGGCCGCCATACAAATTTCAGAGCCTTATAGCTCGGCGAGTATTGGAGATAGGCGGGAAGTGCTCGACCAAATGTCATAGAGGGCGGTGGGGGTCAACTGCCAGTGACAAAATTTTTTCAAGATGTCCGACTCAAAATGGGGGCCCCAAAAAAAGGTGGTTCGATCCGGCTGAAATTTGGCATGCGCCGGTGTATGGGGATATATGTTCAAACTTTCGATTCTGCCATTTTCCAAGATGGCCGCCATGCATGTGAATTTTCTGTCCTTTGGCGTCATTTTTCTCCCAGCAGGAGGGCGGGAGGGTAAAAATAAAGTATGCGAATTATAATCAGACGGGCTTATTGAATATCAGAAAGCAACGAAATCTTCGAAACGTGCTTCGCATCAGGTAGGACCCCTGCTGCCCGGCTAAAGTATATACGTCGTGACCCAAAGTCTCCAAACAAATGTTCATCCACACCCTGAGCAATTCCTACCAAGAGTGAAAAAATTCAAAATTCGAAAAACAAAATGGCCGCCATACAAATATTGGGAGCCGAGATACGGTTCGAGATAGGTAGATCGTGTTCAAACTAATATCGTAGAGGGCGATAAGAGCTAACTGGCTACCGAAATTATTTTTTCAAAATGGCCGATCCAAGATGGCGGCCCGACAAAAAGGTGCTCCGATCTAGCTGAAATTTTATATTCTTCCATGTTTGGGAGCCGGTAATACGAATTTGCGGTCAAATTCTTTATTCCGCCATTTTCCAATATGGCCGCCATACATTTTCCACAGTCCACTATGTTCCAAGGCCTACATCTCGGCGAGTGTTGGAGATAGATAAGAGGCGCTCAAACAAATGTCGAACATAATAGTACGAGCCAACTGCAGGATTTGCAGGCAACAAAAAAATTTCAAGATGGCGGATTCAAAATGGCGGCCCGAAATAAAAGTGTTCCGATCCTAATGAAATTTGACATCCGGTCCTGTATGGATGCTCACAGTATGTATCTGCGAACGAAATTTGGATTCCACAATTGGCCAAGATGGCCGCCATACAAGTGAATTTTCGGTTTTTTGACCAGCAATTTTCTCCCAGAAGAAGAGCGGGTATATAAGAGTGATGTATGGGAATAATGGTTGGGTGGATTTGGTGAGTAACAGAAAGTACCAAAACCATCGAAAAGTGCTCCTCATCAGGTAGAACCCCAGCTGCACGACCGAAGTATACGTTTTAGCCCTAAGGTATCCAAACAAATGTTGCTCCACACCTTGGGCAGTTTCTACCGGGAGTAAAGAAAAACAGAATTCGCAAAACAAAATGGCCGCCATTCCCACTCAAAGTCAAACAAACAGAATTCTCTACTGAAATATGAAGTTCAACTCCCATATTGTCACCAGACACAAAGAAAGCCCTCGCGGGCCTCTGTAGCGGCCCGACACGCAAAACACGCCATCTAGTTATATAAAGCTACAAGTTCTTACTCACTGATAGAAATAGAAAATCATACTTCACGATAATAGTGTTGTTTGCTGATGACACATCCTTGATTTTTAAAACAGACAGACATGACATTAACTATGACCGTATTAATGATACCCTCTCTAAAGTAGTTTATTGGTTTAATGCTAACAATTTATTGCTTAATGCCAAGAAGACAAAATGTGTTAAATTTGAATTACCTAACGTAAAATCGACTAGTCAAAGCATAGAAATAAACGGAGAAAAGTTAGACCTTGTTAATAAAGCAGTCTTCTTGGGAGTGACCTTAGATAGTAAACTTCAGTGGTTTCCACATATATCGTCACTGGCCAGCAGATTAAGCTCCGCTGCATACGCAGTCCGCAGAATACGTGAGCTTACCGATGTTAGTACTGCTAGACTAGTTTACTTTAGTTACTTCCATAGTATAATGTCCTACGGGATTCTCATGTGGGGTAAAGCGGCAGATATTCAAACCATATTTGTATTGCAAAAACGAGCGATTCGTTCTGTGTACCGTCTAGGCTCTCGGGTATCTCTCAGAGAAAAGTTTAAGGAGACTGGTATCATGACTGTGGCATCACAGTACATTTACTCAAATATTTTATATGCCCGTAAAAATATACATAATTTCAATAAGAAAGAAGATATCCATAATATTAACCTTAGAGCTAAGTCCAAACTCATGGTACCACGATTTCGTTTAACCAGGGTAAACAACTCTTTTATGGGGAACTGTATACGTTTTTACAATAAGATTCCGGAGCATATATTAAGTTTATCATTTCCTAAGTTTAAAAACTACATTAAAAATATTTTGATCGAAAAATCATATTACAAAATTGACGACTACGTGTTAGATAAAGATGTATGGAAAGACGACATGGCTCCAGAATCCACACAAATTTGATTCAAAATGTATTCCATAGCATTTAAGTTTATTTGAAAAGAGCAATCCCTAGAGTTTCTTGCTCGTTCTTCTCAGGGAGGTCAGCGTAGTGAACGAGCAGTACCTTAAATGTGACGTTTTCAAGTGTAAATTTATTTTACCTATGGAATAAATCATC